AAGGGGGATTGTTGGGTCATATGGTATTCTACTCTTAATTTTATGAGGAACCTCCATACTGTTTTTCGTAGTGGCTATAACAATGTACATTCCCACCAGGAGTGTATGAGGGTTCCTTTTTCTCCATAGCCTCTCCAACACTTATTATTACTTGTCTTGTTGATGTTAGCTATTCTGACAGGTGTGAGGTGATATCTCATTGTTGTTTTTCTTTGCATTTCCCTAACAGCTAGTGATGTTGGGCATTTTTTTCATGTTTCTGTTGGCCATTTGTATGTCTTCTTGGGAGAAGTGTTTGTTCATGTCCTCTGCCAATTTTTTTTAATTGGATTTTTTATATTTTTGTTGTTGAGTTGTACAAGTTCTTTATATAGTTTGAATATTAGTTCCTTATCGAAGGCTTTGTTTTCAAATATCTCCTCCTATTCGCTTGGTTGCCTCTTTGTTTTGTTGATGGTTTCTTCTTCTGTGCAGAAGCTTTTTAGTTTGACATAGTCCAATTCATTTATTTTTGCTTTTACTTCCCTTACCTTTGAGGTCAAATTCATAAAATCTTAACTTGTGAATGTTTAACATAATAAATTATAAAGGAAGCATGATTTCTGGTAACAGATACCATTTGCGAGTGCTTTCTATGTGCCAGGCTTTCTTCTAAGAGCTTTACATGAATTTTCTCATTTATTCTTTACAATAATCCTATGAGGTAGGTACCATTTTTATCCCTATTTTGCAGATAGGAAAACTGAGGTACAGCACAGTTATAGGACTTTACCATAAAGGTGGTCTTTCTCAAACTTCTGCTCTAACCACAATTCTATACTGGGAAGGACAGCAGCATTCCCCAGACCAATCCTATTTGTGCACAGCAGGGAAAAGTGGAGGAGCAGTGGGGAGAACTTAGAGAGGGAGCTCTTAACTCAAAAACTGAGCCTTTGGGAGGTTGGATATTAAGAAAGAGAGAGGTGAAATGAAGTAAAAACCTATGACTATCTTATATAGTAATTAAAAAAAAAATGTTCCTTTTCTTCTTCTGTCCCAGGATTAGCAGAGTTGAGGCGTCAGCTCTAAGAGCTCTGCGGGAAAAGTTATTTGCTCATTCCTCAGATCTTCTTGGTGAATTTAAGAAGCGTGATAAAGATAAAATTGGTAAGGCTAACCAAGTAAAATATTCATAGGGGAAGGAAGCTGACCAAAAAAAAATCTTTGTCTCATAGTAGTTAGCAAATAAATATTTGCTGAATGAACAAATGACCAAAAGATTTCTTTGACTACTTCCTTCACTTTATTCAACTTAATGTCTTAGTTATCTTTTCTAAGTTTTAAAATTCCAAGCTCTTAACAGAATATGAACTTGGCTAAATACAGATGGAAACAGTGAAAATGGAGTCAAGGGAAGAGTGACAAGGCCAGAAGTAAGCAAAAAGCAATTGGTGGGGCGGGTTACAAGAATGTATCCAAGATTACACATCAATGGAATGTGTAACGGACACTGACCACATGTACCCATATTAAAACATAGCAGTAACTGTCATACAGTCATAGCAATATCCTTTCTTATGCATGTAAACAACAAATTTTGTATATGTGTAATAGTTTATGCTATGATTTGTAAGAGTCTCATGTAACTTCCAGTAGTATTGCCAGGTTTAGCAAATAATAACAGGATGCCTTATTAAATTTTAACTANATATCCTTAAAAAAAAGTTACCTAAGGGTCAAAAGTAGTGAGACTGATGGTCTGGCTTTCACGGTGAGTTGGAAATGAGGAAAGCAGGAGGTGCTTATGAGTCCATTCACATTTTGTAGCCTTTTACTCTCTATGCCCAGGGCTGGAACTGCCCAGGAAATAATTAACACTTGTCCAGTGTTAGAGAATAACCTTTGTTCTATTCTATTTGATCTGGATTCATCTTCAAATATTATTCAACATCATTCAGGTTCTGCTGACCCTCTCTGAGTGTCCTTTTTTGTTCTTGCCCTAAGCCAGTCTATAGCAGGACATGGCTTTCTTGTATCATAGTCCTTATATCTATTTGCAGAAAGTTCTCGTTCTTTGATTATGCACTTACACAGAGTTCCTGTTATGCACCAGACTGTTCTTATTGATATCCTTGTGGAAGTTGTGTCCCTCAGTTTTCACTGTGGCACTCAGGCATGCCGGGAATGGCCGCTTGATGTCACAGCTCTGCTCTGTGGCCTGACCCCTCTATTTCCTGTGATCAGAATTCTTTCTTCTTGTGTCCTCTGTGTTCTTAGTCTGGTCCCAGTACTATGATAATGCTTGAGTCAGTGAGAGGGACCATACTCTGTCCCTCTTCCCAAAGAGGTGCTCCCTTTCCTCCCTTGTCCTTCCTCAACAGGTGAGATAACAAGATAGCACTTCCTGTAAAATGCTATCCCACAGCAAGTGCCAAGTTTTTCATATTCCAACATTTCTCAGCCACAAGCTGCATTTCTTCTCCTTTGCTTTAGTATCTGTGGAACAACAGAAAAGTCAATAAGGGTTTGCCTTCCTGAGAGCGAGGTACCCTTTCTCATCCTTGTCTAAAAATCACTAGGGTCCCAGAGAGAAATAATGAACTAGGTTAGTATTTATCAAATTACCTGTGATGAAAGACCAGATTTTTAAATTTCCAAATTGTCACAGATCAATACTTTTATAAAATACAATATATATGAATTACTAGAAAAATGAAATTCAAACAAAAAATACAAAGATCATGTGATTGAATAGCATAGCAATATCAAATGACTATAAAAGTGACTGAAGGCTTACTCTCAAGTTCTGTGCCTATCTTGTCCCAGGCCAGTTGACAAACCATTCACAGACCAGCACTTATCTGTGGACCCCAGTGTGACCTGATGCCAAAATGCTACTCAAAATGGACTTCCGGTTTCATTCCAGTATCTGTATGTTTTTCTGGATATTTTTAGATTGTTTCCACTTTGAGGTGCAAAACAAGAAAGGAGAATGAGAAGCAGGCAGAGGAGAAGGGAAAAGCCAACCAGGCGAGCAAGGCAGGGAAACCCTCGCCGTGGTTTCTCCCCCCTTCACCCCTTCGCGTCAGTACCCACAAGGCCCACAAAGCAGGCTGCTCCTCCAGTGTTCCCTGCAGTAGCCCCCTCCATCCCAGAGGGGACTCCCGGCAGGTACGGAGCTCAGTGGACCTGGGGCTGGAGAGATGCCCGCAGCACGCAGGATTCCCGGTGATCAAGGAGGAGGAGGAGCCGTGGCTCTTCACGTCAGAAGCCGACTCGGAAGCTGGAGAGCTGCCGGAGCCCACTCAGGAGGAGTGGAGGCAGGTGGGTGTGGCCAGGTGCTGCTCCCTGGAATTTGGCTGCCATCAGGAGGTATCAGGGATTTTAAAAACTAGATCAAATCTCCTCCTTCCATGTAATTTTTGCCCCTCTGTCTGTCTCTACTTGGGATTATCACACCCCAGAAAGATATTCATATTTGCCTAATGACACATACATTTTAGAGTTTTGTAAAGGATGGGAAGATGTAGCAGGTGGGTTCTATTGGCTGAGTAAACTTGGTTTAATGACCTAGAATCATTGGGTAAGAAGGTAAGCCATGATTTATTGGATGCTATTATATGTTTTGGTGCTTGTTTGTTTGTTTTAATGGGTCAGAAAGATGGTTGGTATGGCTCAAAGCCCAAAGGGCTACCTCAGTAGCTTCTGTCCTCTTCTTTTATCAGGCAACCAGAGACATTTCCCAAATCTCCAGAACTCTGTCACATGGCTACCCTTAGCTGCAAGGAAGACCGGGAAAGCAAATATTTAGCCACCCCAAACACTCAACCAGAGTTCTCTTAGCAAGTATATTGAGTAGGCACTCACAGTGCCTGACAAAATAGATGACTCTGGTAGGCAAATGGAAGGCACATTTCACTGGGGACAAGACTATGGCATGGAGATCCCTTAAAAGGCTCTTGTAATCCAAGCGGGGATGATGATGGTGTAATATTATTAATGGAACTGCGTGAACTTGCTTGTGTTCAACCATTTTGACCAATAAAAATGGCAATTTATTATGGTCCATCCAGTAAACAAAAGAATTTAGAATTATTTAAGAGGTAAAATTAGCAGAATTTGCTGATTGATTGGATGGAGGGTGGTGAGAAACAGGTGGAGTTGCAGCAAACTCCGAGGCTCAGAACATCAGGAAGATAGAGCGTGAATTTAGGTTACGTTCTCCCTGAATTACTTATCTGGACTTCAACATCAACTTAGAATTGACATTTTAAAATTCAAGTCTTTCCTTTTGCAAAATAAGACTCAATAATAATGTGCTGATATTTACAAGTCAGCTGTGTTTTTTTTTCCTTAAAAATATATTTAGAAAGTATAGTCTGGTGTCCACAACCAAAGTACACCCAATTATTTCATATGAACTGTGTAAGACTGACAGTGTTTCCCTGAGTAGTGAGAATAGAGTAGAATCTGAATTGCTAGAAAATTTGTTCAGCTTCTCTGCAAATTCTTTTAAAAATTCTGAA